CGGATTGATGCCGCGGTAGATCAAATAGGTCAAGTCAACGCAGCCCACTCTCTTAAAATTTCAGCCAAACTGTTAATCTTTAAAACTCTCCTTAAATAAGGAAAAAGTCATTCCTCCTTTTACAATGAGATTCGTTTTTTTTGGCATAGAAATCTTATCCAGAAAACATCTAGCGACATGGTTTTGACTATATGGCGCAAAAGTTTTTTTAAGAGTTAATATGACAGATTTTAAAACCGAGGAATGGAGAAGGAATAAAGGTTGACTTCAAAAGAGATGTCTTGAATTTAATAGAAAGTCAACACGCTTCAACAAGCTAATTACAAAAGGGTTGAAGGAACAAATCTCTTAACATTTCGGGTCCGTCATAGCCCTTGTTTTATTCAGTATGGCTTGAACAGCACACTTCTTGCATGATGTTGCTGCATATTTCTTGCATGATGTTGCTTTCATATTTGCACTGTAATATTGGTAGTGATAGGCAGTGGTTACGAGCGCCTTTGACTGTCGTTGAACGCAGGTTCAATGGCGGTGCGGGGTGCAAGTTTTGCGTTTATCCTCAAACATACAGAACTCACGCCATTCTCGTAATTAACTCAAGCCATGTTGGGAGCTGTCACGAGTATGGCTCCTTCTTATTGTGACAAATTTGGGGGGATTACTACCACCCCAGCAGCTTATTATCATGGCCAATCGGCGTAGATGCATTAAATGTGAAGAGGCTTGCACGAGTCGCTCACCTGAGGAATAGGAAAAGAATGGTCCAGATTGTAATGTTTTTGAGGCGCACGTTGTCCACTTCTAAACAATGCATCAACTACAGAAATTGGCTAATGTTGAGGAAAGGGCAATCTTGCTTTATTTTTTTTAGACACTTTCAAGGTTGTGGAACTGATGCTGCATGTTCGTGCACTATTTGTCTTTCTTAAACACTACTTTTGCGACATTTAACGCTTCCATTCAGCGTGGAATGGCTTATGAAATGGCCGCTGACAATTAAAATGTCCACTTTATCAAATCGCTGCCCACATTAAAAAACTGCTTCTCCTAAAGGAAAATAGTGACTTGCGTATCGATGAGACAGGTTTGTTAGTATATGTGGCTGGTTTCAGTGGCTTCATATTTCAATAATATGATAAAGAAAATTCTGAATAATCCAGTTGAAGAGCTTGTAGTCACCGGCAATTGAACCACGACGATTATCACTCTTAATTCAATTGGGCGACTGGTTTATCGTGATGGTTTGCATTGTTGGAAGTTTCTTGGCTATTAAAAGTCTTCCAACAATACAAACTATCTTTTTAGATTTTTAAAATATTTTCTGTCACCTCAACCATGTAATCACCGTCAGTGGCATTACCTGTTTTCAGTGCTTGACAGATTTCCTCCCTCTTCAATTGTGGCTAGCTGCAAGTCAAAGAAGGAATTGTGTCTGAGTTGAAGATCGCCGATTTTTTTTTTGTGAGGATGGCTCGAGGGCACTGGGGAAGTGGTAGTGATATAATTGTTGAACCTGTGAATTTAGGTATGTGGAGGGACATTCTAAAGACCCTTATCAAAGATACTTTGCGTGCTTCTACCATTTTAGATAAATTCTAGATTCTTTGTTTGTAGAGTTTCAAATCTACCAAAAACCTTTTTCCAATGAGGTATTCTACTCTTACCCCGAGTTGATTGAGTTCAGAGACGTGTGTCAACTCCGTTCAGCTAGCATTGACAAGCAGTATCTATGCCTTTTCAACGGCTCATTTTCGCATAATAATTGAGGTAATTAGAGAAAAAGACTCCTCTTTTTAACACATAGCATCGTCGCGCGCAATGTTCACTTCAGATTAATCTTACTCCCCTTGTCTTCAAATTTTAAGTTCAGCATACTTAGCTTTTTCAGTTTAAATTGGCTCTATCCCATTGCTTATAACATAAAATACATTACTGTTCAAACGCAAAATTCGCTGCTATGGATGCAGGTCTTTAGTCCGCCATTGCAAGTCTAATTTCAAACTTACAACTTTATGTGTTTGAGCAAATAAAACAGAATCTGGATCATTTTCATCTCTTCACCATATTACATCATCTCAACAATCCAACTGCAAACAGTCTGTAATGTTTGTGCAGTCAGCATCCTTTAAGCACAAAATGATTTTAACAATTGAGAGCAATCAAATCATTCTTTTCCCGCGACGTTTTCTCACCAAATCCACTAAGAAGAGTGAGAATCACAAAAATCAGTGAATGCAGAAAATTTTGATTGCAAGTAAGATACTTAGGAAGTAACATGACGACCGTACATAGGAAAAAAAATTCATTTTCATTCTTATGTGGCTATTCTGCAAAAAAAAAAATTCTCTTGGCACCAGACATTTCGCGTCACGGAGGTTTACGGAGCTTGCTTAACTTCCTTTAGTTCATAATGAAGAGAATTTAATGATACACAAGCGGAGTGTCTATGTGGAATATCTGCCGTATGATATATGCATATCTAAACCGTCCCGTACCAGCTTCACTTTTCTGAGTTATAGCAAATCGTCAAATTCATTGCATGAAATTCATTTGTAAAGGATTTTCCTTTAACTACTATAAAGAATTGCAGCAAACAAAAAGTGAAGGGTTTTTAGAGCGTGGGTGCCCGTATTCAAACAACAACTATTTTTTCAACACTGCCAATTTGTCACTGCGTCAATTCTGTGATGTAGTATTCTGTTATTCTTTTGCGCATGGGAGCTGTAACCTCTCATTCGGCCGGAACTCGTCTTTATACGTTGTTGATTGTTTTCTCCCTGGACACTGCTTTAAACAAAACGATTTAGGTCGTCCTGACAAAATGGATATTGAAAAGATTCTTGATCCTGTACCCATAGCGCAGCTCTTCGTAGCAGTACTTGTAAATTTCTTCTTTGCTTATATCGTATGCAAGAAGGGGCAGAAAGAAATTGGCACCTACAGGTACCTACTAATATCGTTTGCTGTCTGCAATATCATCTATTCATCCTCTGAATATCTTGCCAAGCCAAGTACGTTTTGATACACCAAATGACGCTGGTTTACTAGCTATAGGCCAAACTTTTTCGTGCACCAGAAATGCTTGAATTAGAAAAGTTCAATCGCAACTATTGTATTCAAAGTATGTGAATTCAGACTGGTCTCGTATATGGGAATTCATTTATAGTCTACAGCAAAGGACTTTTTACGAAAGTGCAACCAATAGGAACACTGCTATTGTGCTTTTTTCCTCTATGTATGGATTACAAATGGCAATTCTCGCTTTGCATTTTCTCTATCATTACGTTGTAGTATGTAGGTAAATTCAATTACATTTTATTGAAAATTCACTATCGAAAATTATCTCATGGTACCCGCAACAACCACTTATTTTGGAATTTCTTCGAACTTCAAAGTACAAACGCGTTGAGCAAAAAAGCAATTTACCATATAGAGTCATGGCTTAGGCCGGCTCATCAAAAACACTTTTTGGGATTCTATCTACTTCTGTAGGCAATAG